TGGGGTGCCCGGGGTGCCGGGCGGGAGGCGAATTCCTACGGGACCGCTCCGAGCGGAGCCGCCGGAGAGACGGAGGGCGCCGGGACCGACCCATGTAGGGCTGTGAGATCCAGGGCGGGCTCCTGACGCGGCCGCGGAGGAAACCAGGCGTCTCTGTGCGCTCGGTGTCATGTACTTCCTAATCCTCCCGGATTCCTCCATCGGGGTGGAGAGGGAGCGGAGGGGAGCTGGACGCCAGCCGGGCTCCTCCGGCGTTCAGCCACCCCGCGGAGCCCCCGCGCCGGCACCGACACCCGCCACGTAGCTCCCCTCCATCGTGTCACCCCAAAACTCATCTTGTCTTTCTTTCCCACCCGGGCAGGACATGAGGAAACACGTCATCATGACGCTGCTGGACACGGAGCAGTCCTACGTGGAGTCCTTGCGCACCTTGATGCAGGTAATGCGGCACGGCCGGGGACGTGGCACCCCAATCCACGTCACGGCGTGATCGTCCCTTGCTTGTCACCGTCCCCAGGACCCCGAGTCGGACCCCCAGCCATGGGTGCTCTACCAGCACTGACGTGGCACGGGGATGGATTGGGGACGGGTGGCAGTGGGGATGTTGGGGACAGCAGGACCAGAGATGGGAGTAGCATGGCAATAGGGTCAAGAACGGGGTGTGGGGGTCACCTCTGCCCCCCAAATCAAGCCCGTAACGTTCCTGGTGGGTTTTCACCGGACGGGTATCGTGTCCCCAAGCCCGTTCCCGTGCTTGCCCCCCAAAAGCTCTTCCTCATGTTGCACCCCATCTCCTGGGCCATCGCTGTTGGCCATCCCATGCTCAGCGTCATCACCTGCAGCCATGGGCCAAGGGTTTTTCTCGGTCCTTTTTTTCCCTGAGCTGGCTCCAACCCCCTTGCAGCAGCCTGGCCGGAGGGTCCACCCCACGTTTCAGATGTTAATGAAGGCGTTTCAGAAGGTTAATGGTGGTCAACGCCCTGGAGACTAGGTCACGCTGGCGTAGGTGTGGGTTGTCCAACCGCATCGCCGCAGGTGGAAACACCAAAAAAATCAGAGCTCTGCTCTGCTCGATACGCCTGGCCGGAGGGTCCACCCCACGTTTCAGATGTTAATGAAGGCGTTTCAGAAGGTTAATGGTGGTCAACGCCCTGGAGACTAGGTCACGCTGGCGTAGGTGTGGGTTGTCCAACCGCATCGCCGCAGGTGGAAACACCAAAAAAATCAGAGCTCTGCTCTGCTCGATACGAAGCGGTGCCTGTAGGACATCTGCTGGGCATGTCCAGGAGGGCATGGGGCACCCATCATCCCAACACCCGGCTTCCCCCATAAATCCCCTGCGAGGATGCCCCCATGGTGGACCCAGATGTGCTCTGCCAGATGTTGCTGCAGGAGGGAAGGACCCTTCGAGGCTGCTTCTAGTGCAGATGTTGGCTTGGAGGGGCAAGAGGACCCTGGCTCTGGAGCTTATTTTGGGGGAAGCTGTACAGGGTTTGGGGTCGGGTGGTGTCCCTGCTGGTCTTGGCATGGACAGAGGCTGTCCCATGGGCTGTGTCCTCCTCTGAGGTGGGATCAGGAGAGAGGACAGCTGTGCTGGGGCTCCCCGGTTCCCCACTGGAGGGACTGGTGGGACACGGGTGGGAGCCACAGGGTGTTATTGCCTGACCTCTTGCCCGTGGGACACGTCCTGGCACGGTGCAACCAGGGGGCCTGGATTTCGGGGGGGGGGGTGTCACAGGGCTCCAGATGCCCCCAGCTCCCTGTCTTAGCTGAGACGAGGTGCTTGGATCCATGGTGTGGCCCGGTGGCATGCAGAACAGGGGAGACCACCTCAGAGCATCATCTTCCAGCTAAGCCAGATGGTGCATGGGCAAGCCCTGCCTGTGCTCCTCGTGTGCCAAGGCAGGGGCTGTCTCCGTGTTCTTCTTCCCCATCTGGTCCTCGCTCCCCCAATTTCAGAGCAGGTGGGATGCATGGCACAGCCCAGCCCAGCTCCTGCTGGAGGTGTTGGCCCCAGTAGGGCAGGTGAGGCACGTCATGAGCCTCAGGAAGGATTTGGCCCTTCTAACTTGAGTTTTCACGAGATACCCACTGTCAGCCTGAGGAACCTCATCCTTGGGGGACGACTCCTCCCTCGCCAGCTTGGATGGAGATGTCCAAAGCAGCTCGAGGTGGGTCCTGTCCTCACCGCTCAGCTCCATGGCCCTCCCAACATCCTGAAGGACACCGGCACCCCATATTGGTTGGGCTGAGGAGAAGGCAAGGCCTGAGAAGACCTTCCTCATCCTGCATCCCTTGCAAATCCAGCTCTCCCGTTCCCGGGGGCACTGCTCCCCTCCGCAGCTCTACCCCACGGGGGGAGGAAAGGGGTTTCGGAGCAGAGCTGCCCACCCAGCCTTGCAGAGGACCTGCTCTTGTCCCACTTTTCCTACTGACCCTGAGCATCGCTCGTTGGCCTATGCCCAAGAGATGCTGATGGCGAGGTGGTCCAGGGCTTGACCAGGGGCCTCCACCCTGCGCAACACAGCCCGTGCCTCCACCCTGCTCAATCCAGCCCCTCCCGGTCCCAAACACCTCAAATCCTGCCGGGAACCCACCGGCTTTTGGATCCCAGGGTCGTGCTGCCGTGATTCCCCAGCTGGGTCAGGCTCTGTAGCAGATGGAGGTGACCAAGGCTCACGACAGCAAAGGTTTGGAGCCTTTCAAGGCCGTGGCTGGGGGACGGAGGACGCTGTGCTTTGGGGGTTCCTCGTGCAGACCTGCCCCACTCCCAGCTCTGCTGTGGGGATGCACTGGGTGGGGTGGGACCCGGGGGGGGCCTGGCGTGCAAAACCTGCTGGGACCCAACACTGTCTGGTCGCTCTGACGGGCCCCACAACCCAACGTTCACTGGGGGAACCCCCTGCTGCAGGATGCCACCGTTCCCCATATTTACAGGGGTTGAAAAATTCATATTGAGGGGGCGGGAAAAGAAATCTATGCAGACCCCGATGCCTTTTCTTCCCCGCAGGGTTACATGAAGCCGCTGAAGCAGCCGGAGAACTCGCTGTTGTGTGACCCATCGCTGGTGGACGAGATCTTCGACCAGATCCCCGAGCTGCTGGAGCACCACGAGCAGTTCCTGGAGCAGATCCACGACTGCGTGCAGAACTGGCACGAGAAGCAGAAAGTGGGAGACCTCCTCGTGCAGTCGGTAGGTCCTCGCGGGGTGGATTTCCCCCAGGGAACCCAGGCATGCCCGCTCTCGGACATGGTCCCAGCAGGAGAAGTTTTGGAGCAGGAGGCAGGGGAGTGATTAAAGGACGGGCCAAACACGCCTGAGATGGAGAACAGGAGACGATCTCCAGGCCTGCAGTCTGCTTAGCGTAACGGCAGGGTGTTGCGGCGACCGGCTGGGTCTGCAGCTCGGCGTTTCTGCCTCGGGAGCAAAAATGTCAGGGCTGAAAAATCGAGG